GTGACAAATCCTAATCTCGAAATACGTCAACCCAACAAGTACCTTCGGAGACACCTGTAGAGCACCTTTATAATCACCCAGTTATGTTGTGACGTTTGGTAGCACACAAAGTGTTCCTTCGGTAAACGGGAGTTGCATAATCTCATAGTCATAGGAACATGTATAAGTCATGAAGAAAGCAATAGCAACAAACTAAACGATCAAGTGCTATGCTAACGGAATGGGTCAAGTCAATCATATCATTTTCGAATGATGTGACCCCGTTAATCAAATGACAACTTATGTCTATGGCTTGAAAACTTAACCATCTTTGATTCAATGAGCTAGTCAAGTAGAGGCATACTAGTGACACTCTGTTTGTCTATGTATTCACACATGTATTATGTTTTCGGTTAATATAATTCTAGCATGAATAATAAACATTTATCATGAAATAAGGAAATAAATAATAACTTTATTATTGCCTCTAGGGAATATTTCCTTCAGGTGGTATATGTAAAAATACCCTGACCTCTCGCATTCACTCGACACGTAGAAACTGAAGTTGTTGATGCGCAGAAGCCAATGAGTACAACATTAAATGGAAAGCCGAACACACTACTCAGAAGTCATCGATGGAGGAACCCGCCTTGCAATGCCGAAGATAACCTTTCTGCCGAACACCTCGTCATTGAAGACTGGTTCGGGGGCTGCTGAGGGAGTCCTGGACTAAGGGGTCCTCGAGCGTCCGACGTGTTAGCCATGGGCCGGACTAATGGGCTGTGAAGATACGAAGACCGTCGACTGCACCCGTGTCCGGACGGAACTCTCCTTGGCGACCGGATATGTAGATTCCCTTCTTTATAACTGACCTTGTGTAACCCTAAATCCTTCCGGTGTCTATATAAACCGGAGGACTTAGTTTGGATAAGGGAGATTCATTATCATAGCCATACAAGTTAGACCTTTAGGGTTTAGCCATTACGATCTCGAGGTAGATCAACTCTTGTAATACTCATATTCATCAATATCAATCAAGCAGGATGTAGGTATTGCCTCCATAGAGAGGGCCCGAACCTGGATAAACATCGTGCCCCTTGTCTCATGTTACCATCGATCTTAGACGCACAGTTCGGGACCCCTACCCGAGATTCGCCGGTTTTGACACCAACAGTGGGCGATATAAACTCAAAAAATCGTGGAAGATACGACACTGTCATCAAGGAGATTCAGTAGAGGGTTCATCATGTTAGATGTAATTTTACTTTTGAAAGTCATGACTCGAATGTAGAGGCTCATAGTTAGCAAAATTTGCTCTTTCGTTAAGCCCGGAACGCTATGTGTGGCTGGGCCATCCCCATGATCCGAGATGTATTTCATAAACTGTGGCTTTTGATCTTTATTAAAGCTCGGATTGCCCCTAGAAAAACTTAATTCGCCAGAGTTGCCTAAAAAAAACTTAATTCGACAGAGTTATCTTAGAAAAAAAAACTTAATTCGTCGGAGGAGCAAAGAAACGTGGAATGAGCCCATGCGTGTACGTGCCAGTTGGTCTTCTTCAAAGCTAAAATTAGGCCAGCGCAAGAAACCAGTTGCACCGTCAGTTGATCCCTCGCAGGTGCTGGGGCAAGAGGCCGCAACGCGCGGTGGCACCGGCCAATCCGACGTGCGGCCGCCCTGCTTCCTCTCCCGTCCAGCTCCTCCCATTCCAAATCCCCTTTCCCCCGCGTCTCCTCTCCACCTCCCTCCTCCCATCCCCTTCAAAGAGAGATGAAGGCATGGAGGGATCCACCCTAGCCGCAGACCGACAGACCCCAAGCAACCCGCAACCAGACTGAAGACCGACATGGCCCGGATCGGCGTCGCCCTGCTCGCGCTCCTGGTGGCCGCCGCGGCGGTGGCGTGCCTGCCGGCCCCGGCCTCCGCGGGCGAGCAGGACTCCATGCTGCTGACGCGCGCGGCGACCTGCGACGGCGCCGTCGGGGAGTGCGGCGTGGACGAGGACGAGGAGATGGGCACGGGCGCCTACGGCACCGGCGAGGCCCTGCGCCGGTCGCTGGCGCGCAAGCCGACGGCCAGGTACATCAGCTACGCGGCCCTGCGCGCCGACCAGGTCCCCTGCAACAAGCGCGACAAGTCCTACTACACCAACTGCGGCTCGATGCAGCAGGCCAACCCCTACACGCGCGGCTGCTCCGCCATCACGCGCTGCGCGCGCAACATGAACTGATTCGTCCTCCGTATGCCCGCCTCTGCTGCCCCGTCGATCTCGCGCGCGTACGGAGCGGAGAGGAGTGTCACCGTGTGAGCGCCTAATTAAGCACTGTGTGCGTTTGTGCTGCTTCAACATTGATCCAACAAAATTAACGACTGTTATTGTATTTGTTTGTGAGTAGATTTTGTGTATCCAACGTGTTCCTGCTACTGCCATGTGTACGCCAATTTATTCGTTTTGAAAAATGTTTGTGTATTTGAAGAAGAACAGGATTTTTATTTTATTTTCCGCCTCTATTTTGATATGCTTGTAATTTTCATGAACGGGGTTGTCATGTTGAAAGACAAGTTAGAATTTGTGGATGTATTCTACTTACTCGATTTAATTATTAAAATTCAGTATACAACGACATAACATGGTTACAGTTTTCTTATAGATATAGTAATAGTTTAATGTACACAACTATTTGGAAAGCCCATTCCCACCATGGTCACGGCCCAACACACTTGCCAGAGGCAGTGTGCATTCTCCCGTTTCCTTGGTTATAAGAAGTGACACGGACATAGATGATATCATCACGACCTCTTAATTTAGGTGGGTTTTTACACAAGGGTACTTGTGTTCCGGGCAAGCCCAACTACAAACAAAAGAAAATGTCTGTTTTCTACCCAAACCAAATAAAATCGGCTGTATCCACTCAGATGGAAGAATCCGAAGTTGGTCCCATAACCAACAAAGGCTACATAGGACGCATCCACGTATTAAGAAAAGAATGTTACTAATAAAGAAGAAACTAATAAGATAAGTGCGGAAAAAGATAAATGAAACCATAACTAATAATGGAATATTCGATTTGATAACCCATGCTTGGGTTGTGTGGGAGACCACACGGTCAGATTGTTGTTGGTGAGGTTCTTGCCTTTCAGAAAAAGTGTGAAGAAAAACCTGCATTTGGCCTGCACCTTAGCCTTCCAGATCTTCTTGCAATTTGCATGAGATGTTAATCTGAGGAACTGGCAGTAAGAGGAACTTCCAGTGTATGTGCCGGAGGCGCATCAGTTCCAGGAGATTGCATCTATCATCCCAGGATCGAGAACAATATGCCGCAGCCTAGTCCATAGCCTGGTGCATTGCCTGAGCTCAGGTTCAGATGAAATGTGGTGCAAGCCTGAAAGCCAGCGTTGATCATCGAGGCACGAGCTACAAATAAGCTTTTCTTGTACCAGAGGCAGAAAAGATCTGGGCCAGATGGTAAGGAGCCTCCCCGCCAGGCCAGCGATCCTGCCAGAACCTGACACGAGATCCGCAGCCCCAGGTGATGTTGGTGGAGGCGACGAACATGTCGATGTCATCCCAATCGCATGGAATCGGCGATCCAACCCAAGGGCCGTCTTGAGCGTGCCATTCCATCCATTTCCATTTGAGAGGCAGATCCCGGCCGAAGCGCTTGAGGTCGATGATGCCAAGGCCACCGAGGCATTTAGGCTGGCAGAGGATTGACTAGTTTACCACTACGATTCCTTTGTCACCATCTGGCCTGGAACACCAGAGGAAGTTTCGTCTCAGCTTGTCGATCTGCTTTATAGCCAAGATACCGAGCTTGAAAAATGGTGATTAGATACACGAGAATGGTTAAAAGCATCGAGTTAATCAGTCGCAATCGGGCATCCCCAGACATAAGCTTGCCGGGCCATCTCTGAATCTTTCATGCCAACTTGTCGAGATAGGTTGGATATCATTTCTAGTAATGTTTTTATGGTGTAGAGGTAGGCCAAGGTATATGCATGGAAACTGAAGAATAGGCACCGAAAATTGTTGTAGTAGAGTCGAAAGGTCTAAGTTGTTGCAACGAATGGGGTAGATACCGTTCTTGCTAATGTTGCAGGCGAGGCCAGAAGCGGAACTGAAGTAGGTAAGGATCTTTTGGTAAGCATAATATAAGGAAACTGGGGGTAGATGAAAAGCGCAACATCATTAGCATAGAGACTCACCCGCAGTTAAGACAACGATAAATGGATGGGAGTGAGAGCATGAATGGACACTGCTTTGGCAAGGATCGACTACAGCGGAGCGATTGCAATGGTGAATAGCATTGGTGAGAGCGGACTGCCCTAGCGCATGCCACGACAGTGAGTACAGGGTTGCCCAAGCTCTCCATTTGCCAATACCCGGAAAGAGGTGGAAGACCATAGCAGCGAGAGCAGGTGTGCCAAGACCCATCCGGGGTAGGAGCTCGAGTAAGAAGGACCAGGACACATTTTTGAACACACCAGCGATATCTAGCTTGATCAGTAAGGCCCGATCCTTGAGCTTGTGTAGATTACGGATTGCGTTCTTGACAAATACTCCCTCCGTTTTATAATATAAGACGTTTTTTGCAAGATAATATTATGAGACGGATGGGATAGAAAATTGTTATGAATGCTTAGAAAAGAACGGTGCAACAGAACGTCTAGTACACGTTACACAGTCCTACTAGTTATATGCTGCCTATTACATTTCGAAGGATCGTCGAGGCTTCACTTCCCCTTATAGCGACAAAAGAGCAAATCGCACGATTCCATGTAGAATATTCATTTTCACAACGTGCTCGACAAAACTGTGGCTCCTCCCTCTCCCCTCCGCTGCCATGGTGGTTGAGAACTGATAATGTCACCAAACCACACGTCTTCTGTGTAGTATAAATCTCTTTCTGGATCGCCGGTTAAATCCATCAGTCGTTGACCACGATCTCCCACAATCTAAATGACCACTCTCTAGTTTAGCTAAAGCGAAGTGTGCTCATCCGAACGTGCTACCTATAGCCATGGATGGAGCCAGTAGTGCAAGCGGCGGCGAAGGCTCGGCAGAGCCACATCCGTCACCGCCACCGCCAGAACGGCGGTACAAGGGCGTCCGGCTGCGGAAATGGGGCCGGTGGGTGTCGGAGATCCGCATGCCCAACAGCCGTGAGAGGATATGGCTCGGCTCCTACCCGTCCGCCGAGAAGGCGGCGCGTGCGTTCGACGCGGCAGCCGTCTGCCTCCGCGGCTCCCGCGCCGGGTCTCTCAACTTCCCGGAGTTCCCGCCCGACGTCCAGCACGTCCCTGGCATGGTGCCTACGGCCGAGTGTATCCAGGCCGCCGCCACGAGGCACGCGAACCGCGCATCGCAGGACGTGACGAGCACGAGCAATGGCATAGCTGTAGAGTCATCGCCCTCCGCTGGCAGTGCCGCTGCCTACGACGATGTGCTTGATTGGTCGTTTATGGATGCCTTACCGTCGGTGCCAGCGTCGTCGGCGCCGGGGACTAATGTTCCCGCTATGGATGATGTCATGTTCGGTTTCTCGCCGATGCCGCCTCCGACGCCGCCAGAAGAGGCGGGCGAGGATATGATCAACGATGATGGTGATGACCATGCATTTGTATCTGACCTCTGGAGGTTCTGACAGGGAATGTATTTTTTTGGCGGAATATTAACAGGGAATGTATTTTTTTGGACAGAATATTAACGGCTTATGTATTGACATGACAGATTACTCTCAAAATCCTTCCAACCACATGACACATGTGGTAAGCAATCCAAACAACTCAAAAAAAAAAAATTCCTCCCTCCCGGTCGCTCCCGTGAGCGGCCCGGGGGGCAACCCTAGCCGCCACCCAAACTCCCTCCCCTCCCCGTCCCTCCTCCCCCGCCGGCCGAGCAAAGCCCGGCCGGCGTTGGCGGAGGCGGGGCTCTCCTCTCCCCTGTGCTCCTCCATGGTAGGCCGGCACGGGACGGCTGGATCGGGCGCAGCCGCCGGCCTTGCGTGGGGGCAGCGGCGCGGCGGCGGGCTCGTCTTCTGGTGGTGCGCCGGCGGCCTGGGCGGTGGCTTGCGGCGTGGCGGCTGCGGGCTCTTGGGATCTCGCGATGGCCGGCCCTTCAGGTGGTGCACGTGGGTGGGCTCCGGTCAGATCCGGACGGATCTGCCTCCGGCACCTCTTCTGGCAGCGGGGGCTGGGTGCAGCAGGGCCGCGGGCAGCTGGCACCGTCGTGCATAGGGGTGGCGGTGGTGGTGGCGTGGCGGTTGGTGGTGGTGG